AAAACCAATATATTTACAGGGATCCTAAAATATCTAGCACTCAAAAGTTAAAATTAACAATGTGTGGCATCCAAACTACAATTATGAGGCCTGCAAAGAAGCAGGAAAATCTAACCCACCATGAGGAGAAAAATTAATCAAAACTGACCAAGATATGAAAAAGATGGTAGAATTAGAGAAGGACATTAAAAAAACAGTATAACTGCGTTGCATACATTCAAGAAGCTGAAGGAAAGACTGAACATGTTTAGTAGAGACATGGAATATAAAAAATTTGAGATACCCAAATTGAACACCTAGAGATAACAATTACAATGTCTGAAATGAAATACATGTTAGACAGGGTTAATGGCATATTAGACATTACAGAAGAAAAGAGTAGTGAACATGAAGACATAGCAATAGAAATAATTCAAAATGAAATACACAGGGGAAAAAAGACTGAAAAAATGAAGAGAGGATTACCAAGTTGTTGGACAACAATATTAATGATTACTTTAAATGGAAATGGTCTAAGCCCTCTAATCACATGACAGAAATCATAAGAATAGATAAAAATCAAGACTCAGCCCCTAATATCTGAATATTATGGAGAAAAGAGGGCTGGCTGCACACAAAACCACAAACAAACACTGGAAAAAAGGCCTCTTTGCTAAAAATATAAACATAACATAGTCCAAGAATCACCAAAATAGTACCTACATAAACTAGTGCTCTAAATCAGGTAGAAGGTCTTCATGCAAACCTCTGTAGTAGACAAACTGGAACACTGGCACATTTAGGTGTCCGGAGAAATCTGTAGTGATGTGGCAGGTGGGGCGGGGGGGTTGGTTCACCACAGTAGAGGAATGAAGTTGGCTTGTGGCATAGTTTGTATGCTACTTCCAACAACTGAGGGGAATCTGAAGGCCTTTTATCCTGCATGTGCTGATGAACATAAACAATTAAAACACAGCTTACGTGTTCTTTACCTCTTTTAGTTCTCACAGCAGCCCTGGAAATTATCTCCATTTTACCAATGAATAGAGTAAAATGAACTGAGGCATTGTCATGATAATAGCTACTAAGTTTATATTACTAGCTAAATAATTCCAAAGTAATTTGAAATTTATTGTTTGTTTTTTCAACAAGTTTTCATAAAGTTCTTCACTGTCTTTGACACATTTAGTTTGTTTCCTCTTTTAAAAATCAAACTTTAATATAAAAGGAAATTAAGTAATACTTATGAAATTAGGAGAAATACATAAAAAATCTAAAATTAATTTATACTCGTGAGCTCAGTAAAGGAAACAGGGTGTTGAAAATAAGATTAAAATTTTTCTTAAGGGGGAGCCTGGGTGGCCCAGCCAGTTGAGCATCTGACTCTTGATTTTGGCTCAGGTCATGATCTCACAGTTGTGAGATTAACCCCTGCGTGGGGGCTCCACACTGGGCATGGAGACTGCCTGAGAATCTCTCTCCCTTTGCCTCTGCTTCTCCCCCACTCATACTCCTTCCCTCTAAATTTTTTTCTTAATACATTTTTTCTTCTGTTCCAAAGCAACAACAAATGCCACTTTAGCATGCATAATTTACAATTAAACACAATAACGTTCTTTTCATTTGTGCGAAAATGATTATTTTTAATTGTCATATATGTGAGGATTTCTCTCTTCATATGAAATTCACTAAATAAAAAATATTTTCTGCCAGCTTCTAAGAGTAAATCTCTAAACAGGAAATAATTGAATTGATAGGGATGCCTATACATATTTGCTTATGTAGATTTATATCACTTAGAAAGCATTACAACTGATCACACATGAGATAGCAACTACATTACATGCAATCTGCTTGAAAATTTTAAAATGGAGTATTTCTAATCAAAATCAGCATGTTTATTACATGATATATGTGATGTCAGGAAAGGTGACAGAAAACAGACATGGTATTTTGTCCATTTCATTCATGCAATCTAGTCCTTTTTCTACTTATGAGACTTTTAAGTTTCATAAACAAATAATTCTGTTCAGTTTTATTAAATGTATTCACTTAATGGTCCCAATCTGCCAACTGAGAATTGACCTTAGAAAACATGAAGACTTATTTTCACAGTTTTAAAAAACAGAAGCTAATGGAAAGTTGTTCAAATGTGATCCAATTAGTTTTGATGAGAGAAGATTAAAAAAATAAATATAACAAACTAAATGTGTTTCATTGGAGGGTTTTGAAAAAGGAAGTATTCCTCCTAAAAAGCTGAGCCTGGCTTTATCATGACTAAATATAATAGTTAAAAAAAAAAAAAATACAAGTATTTTCTTTGGACAATTAACTTACGGTTTTGTTTATATTCTTCCTTATATTTTCTACATAACCCAAATATGTGTAATAACCTTGTATTACAAAAATAATTATGGAAGTATTACACTTTTAAATGTTCCACACAGAAACTTTTAAAACGTGAGGGTGTAAAGGAATAAACCACCCACAAGGGCGCCTGGGTGGCTCAGTTGGTTAGGCATCCAACTTTGGCTCAGGTCAGGATCTACCGGTTTGTGAGTTCAGCCCACGTCCAGCTCTGTGCTAACAGCTCAGAGCCTGGAGCCTGCTTCAGATTCTGTGTCTCCTCCTCTCTTCGCCCCTCCCATGCTCATGCTCTGTCTCTGTCTCTCAATAATAAATAAATGGTAAAAAGATAAATAAATAAATAAGTAAATCACCCACAAAGACCCACTAATTGTTGCTACATATTATTTTAGGTAAATTACAGTTGTTAAGAAATTTAATATTAATAATTAACAAAAGTATAAATGATTATGTTATTGAATATTTACTGTACCAGGTACTGTACTAGAAACTGAGCTCCAGGGTGATTAAAACAAAATCATTGGTGTAAAAGGGTACAGGCTTGCATAGAAATGATAATGCCTAACTTATTTAATTAATAATTATTACATAATTATTAATAATAGATTCATGATAATGCATTAGCTTTATAAGATATTTGGAAAGATAAAAAGCAGTATTGGTTTATAAATATATATTGATGTTTTAATGCAATCTAATTTTAGAAATACTATATTTTGGAAAAGCATATTTATTGTATTATCAAATAAGCAAGGTAATTGAGATGATACTGTAAAATGGTGTAATTACCATTATGCCTATGTTGTCATAACTCAGATGCATCAGAATCACCTCAGGAACTTTCACAACAGTAGTTCCTGATCAGGTGATTCAAGAGATGATAAGGGGAAGGGGGTTAAAAGTGGGAAGAGTATGCAAGTGTCACCATTTTTAACATTTTCCCTGGGTAATTATGATGCAAATAAGGGATCTGTGTTTACATAAGCACAGATACATTCCAGGTCTAAAAAAAAATTAGATTTTGGGTTAGAGACTTGCCATGTTCCTTTGGAAATTAAAATACTTTCCAAATAAACAGTTACTTGCCTTAGGACATTTAATTAAGGACAGGAACAATATTAAGCTGGGTTCGTAACTCCATTATAGTTAATTAACCAATGAAAATGATTACTAATTGAATATCTACTATGTCAGGCACTACACTAGAAACTAAGCTCCAAGATGATTAAGACAAAATTAGTCACAAGAAGGGCATACACTCACGTAAAAATTATGCCAAATATTTAATATAGTTTTTAAGAATTTACAAAGCAATTTCATTTTTCCAGGGTGGAAGGGATATAAACAGAAGTGTGTTTTAGGTTTAAAATGTGTCCCCCTAATGTGATTTAGAGGTCTTCCGGGTAAGTCTGTTAAACTGGTTGAGTTGGCCTTCCCAGGCTCTCTTTTGAGAAAATCCCCACGAAGGGTAGAAACACAGGCAAAACAAAGCTTTTGATCTGTTTTGGAGGTTTGAAGCAGTGCAATTCTGGACACACTGTGGTGAGACATCTAGATATGTCTCCTGAGGTAGGCCCTAGTTTATTCATGTCTGAGTCCTTGGAAGAAGATCATGAAAATAATACCAAAAAGGGCTATTTTGTTAAGAACCAACAAAAGACCATGAACCATTGAATCGTACTCACTTGGATAAATATAACTTTAAAGTGGGGAGAAAGACATTCTTCAGACTTTTATAGGAGTCAAGAGGGCAGGGATTAGCAGCAAACTGGGGACTGGAGAGAAATCAGTGGGATTCTGTTACCTTGAGGACACACATCAGCAACAGAAACAGAATCAGGACCCAGCAGGAAGGAAAGTATACTCAACAGGAATGGCAGTGATCAGGGGAGCAGTATTGCAAATATCAGAGGAATGACAAGGTGGAAGCCACCTATTTTTGCCCTCTGGACTTGTGAGCATAGGTGAACACTCCCTTTAGTCCTTCCCAAGTACCAGATCGAGTTCCATAGGAGCAGCCCAAGTTTCACACCTCATCTATTCCACTCAAAAGCCCTGTAAGCCAAGCATTATTCCCCATTCCACAGAAGAGAAAACTGACTCTTTAAAGGAATACATCTGTAATAAAGAGAGGCTTTATACTTCCAGGTAAAACCGGAAAATACTTAAGAGTTTACTTTAAGGTTTGTTGAACCAGTATTACATACCTGTACTACATTCAGACTCATTGAAACACTGTTTTCACTTCTAAAACTCCAGGTAATAAAAGGAAAAAAGTCACATATTACCCAACTACAGAGAAATGTGACCCAATTAACACCATGGGGCATCTGATTTCTGTTTTTTTGTACGGGGGGGGGGGTCATATAATATATACATATGCTTTTAAATGAGACAATAATGAATGTATAGATTGCTTTTTAATTGCTTTATTACTTTATACTTTTCCATGCAAATAGGTGACTCTACTGTTGACAGAAACTTAGACTGGGTGCCAAGGCAATTTCCAATTGGAATCTGGTAACACAGAACCCACCTGACACATGGAAATTACGTAAGGTTCACAGCAAACGGATCAGTAAAGGTGTTATCAGGAAAATGCAAGAAGAAAACAGTGTGAATCACAGTATTAATCTCATGGAAAATGGCAGGAGTCAAGGCATAAGGCAAAATTCATCATGATGGTCATGGTGATTAGAGAGCTCCCCCATCAGGATACGCAGACAATTCCTCAACTGCAGCTCCCTAAGTTTTCTCCTGATTTCTCTCATCTCCTCCATGAACATTTCCATATCATCTCCATCTCCACCCATCCCATCATTGACCTGCCTATTGGGTATGGCCCATCGAAAATTAGGAGCAAGTCGGCGAGCCTGTCCCCGTCTATTATTTCCTGCAGGTTGGTGGCCTTCGCCCCCTGCCAAAGGGCGGTCTTCCTCTCCATTCTGCATGGGCTGCTCCATTTCTTGGTTTTCCTGGTGGATATTTGCCATGAGATTTTTTTCCTGGTTGTTTTTCTTTGAACACAAGTAAAACAAAGGCAAGGAGAGAGACTGAATGCTTGGTGTACTGACCAGCAGGATTCAGAGTTCTGATAGCAAAGGTGTTTTTTGTTTTGTTTTGGTTTTGGTTTTGTTAATTTCCCCCACCTTAGGAGCTTCAGGCGTCCTCTAGGGGGCCTCCAATTCGAGCCTCTCCCTCCAGCTCTCTCCTTTTTCCCTCCCTCCCCTAAAGCCCACCATTTTTCCTTTCCCAGGATTCTTTCCCCGAGCTCCGCAGGCACCAAAATGGAGGACAGGGGACAGGGATGGGGGAATTGGGAGGGGATCTCAAACTGGGCTCTGCACCCGCCCCCCACGCTGTCCCCCCGCACCGACCTGGGCCTATCCTTGCAGTCTCCTCTTTCACCCGATTCTCGCCGTGCGTGCGCCGCCGCGACACTTGACACCTAGACCCTCAGACCTGCAGAGGGCCGGGGTGGAGGGATCTTGGACTGTGGCGAAGCGTTTGGCGCCGACCAGCCACCACCTGGTCCCTTCAGGGTCTCGGACCGCCTGGCCACCCCCCATCCGCATCTCCAGCCCCAACCCCTAGCCTCCCCCAGCCCGCCTCAGAGGTTCACCATTTTACTGTACGAACTCGGAGGTGATTTCCCATCACTCTTAGTGGCTTGGCTGCCCTCCCGGCCGCTCCAGCACCCCCACCCCAGGGAGCCACTACTGATGTTCCCAAGAATGCTGGGTGTGGAGAAACCTGGCCGGGACCCGCTGCGCTGATCCTTTACGCCTCCCTGAGGGGTAGGCCTGCTGTTGTCGCCCTGGCGTTAGCGCGCGGGCCCTGGAGCCCTCACCTGCTCCGCTTTCCTTGGGCCCAGTGCCAGCCAGTCCGGCGCAGGGCAGCGGGGAGCTGGTACCCAGGTGGGAGTGACGACTGCACCAAAGTCTGCGTCGCTCTGCAGCTCCAGGTCACGTGAGGGCCCCGCGTCACCTATGAGCTACCCCCTCCCCCCCAACTCCGGCGGCTAGTGCGGCGGGAGTGCCCGCCCCCACCCCTCGCCGAATGCACATGCACACGCAATCCCCTCCGTCTGCTTGTGCGCAGAGCCCCAGCGCGCACCTTCCTGTCGCTCAGCTTGGTCCTCTCCAATCTGAAGGCCCACTAGTGCCTCATCTTCCAGCGGTTGGAGTCAACCATTCTCAGGTTACCCTGGCGGGTCTGCAACACTCTCGCCCTTCCCACTCCCGACTTGGCCAGGATTTATGCACTTTCGGCCTGTTCCCTTCCCCTCACTGACCACGCCCCCACTTCCCCCACCTGCATCCCAGCAGTTGCAACTCCGCCGGGGGCCATCGCGCCCCCTGAATTCACACCTTTCCAGGAAATTTAGAAAGTGGTCTGGGGTGGGGAGGGAGCAAGGGACTCGTCAGAAAGAGAGGCAAATAGTGAATTTTTCGGGAGAATTTCTCTTTATTTCCATTTGTAAAAAGTCAGCATACCACAAAAAATTAAAAATTGTAAGATTTCAGTTTCGGAAAAAAAAAATGCTTCATCGTGCAGAATGAAAAAGCCCCATTCATTATATTCACCTGCATCACACAAAATATTTTATCTGCGTTCCATACAACATTAACATCCGCTTTGAAACATACTACCTTGTTTCAAATTTTTACTTTGAAATAAGTGGCATCAGTTGGTATTTTCAAAATGATCTGTAAATATTTAGGGAGAAGTCCAGTTGTCAGATATTGGTCATTTAATGTAAATTTGTGACGTTTTTGATACCATAGTCTTTGGAGAAAAGAAGCCTTTTAACTCCTTTCTTTTCTTTACAAACTTTCCAAACCATCCCTACAAATACCTCCTTAGAATAATCAGTAGTATACAATATGCAGAAACTACTTCCAAAGCCATCTGCCTTTTGATGTAAGTGTTTCAAAAAATATTAGAAATAAACAGAGGGTTATGTGAAGCAACTAAACTTTAGACTGAAACTCACCTTGAGTGTAAATGTTCCTTTCTCTACCTTGAAGTAACTAAATAAATTTTATCACAGTTAGAAAGCAGATATCTTTAGGAAAGCTGCATTTATTATAAAAAATATTTAGTAGGTGTTAGTTGTGATAAAGGAACCAAAAGTTATGTGCATTGAGGCAAGACAGGTCAGACCAGTGCTTACTGCCTCTGGTTTTGGTTCCAAACTCCTATGTAATCTCCTAGCCTGCTAAGCTAGTTGGGATATTGAATAAAGGAAGAGTATATGCCTAGTGCATACATAGTTTGAGGTTTTAGAGATATATACAATTACACATATGTACTTTTGGAGATATTTTTATATATAGCTTGTTGAAAAACAAAATTCAACCAAGTACATTTGAAGATTTAATTGGTTTTATTAAATAATTAAGAAGCATCTCAGCTAGCAAACAGAGGGGGCTCCAATAGGCTACAGGAAAAGAAAAGTTTTTGAGGGCAGGATGGGGAAGTCCTAAACAGAAAAGAGGATTATTTTACTTGAAGCCACCTTCATTTGGAGACAAAAGGGTCTTAGTACGTGGATTACCTGATTTTACTTTGGGAGGATGAAGAGGGTCCATGTGATGGATTACCTTATTGGTACTCACCAGAAAATTCCTGACAGACTGGTTAAAGGTTACATTCCTAGGGAGTCAAAACTGCAGTTAGGTTAGGTATTAATTCTTGGTTTACTGACTTGGGGCCTTAATCTAAGTGATGCCATTTGTGGCTTGTGGTTTTCTTTTTAACAAGTTCCAAAAGCTTAAATTACATAATCACACCCAAAAATGTCTTTTAAAGGAATGCTAGTGATTCCTGGATTCTGTTTAACAGTTCATAACTCTTCATACAGATAGGTCTATTAACGACATTGGCTGAATTGATGCTGATTGAAAACATGAGCTGTGTGGTAAATCATATCTGCTACTTACTTGAAGTGTGACTTTTGATCAATTACTTATTAAGGTCTCTGTGCTTCCTCTGTGAAACAGGGATTGTTGGAAGTAAATCACATATATCAAGTACTTACACAGAGCCTAATAAATCTTCAATAAAACTTGGCTTTTTTTTTTTACCATTATTAGATAGTTTCTAACAAGATTTGAAGAGTAGGCAGAGCATAATTATTTCCTTAGCTAAATCCACTTGTCTTTAAAATCCACGAGGGCCCAAAACATGTCTTGCTTTATTCTACTTTGCATACCCAATGGCTTATAGGGTTCCTTGTACAAAGTAGGTGATTAGTGAATATTTGCTGACTGAATGCATCCACTACTGAGGCTAAGTAGTTGTTTTTCATTCAGGGGACTGTATTTAGAGCAATACAAAAAAGCTTTTATGAAAATTAGGAATTACCTAGAATGAATTCCTTGAAATAACTATTGACAATACAGTTTAAAAAGAGGATTTTTATTTATCTCAGTGGCTAAATGCTGTGCTGTTGTCTTTTTGATCCATCTTGAATGCCTTTTGTTTGAAACTACCAAATTTTCTTAGATGAAAATATACATTTATGTATTTTTCCAGATCAGATATTAAGCTACATGGGAGATTGGTTATAATGAAGTGATTTTTTTTAAACAATGCTTTTTTTTGTTTATTTATTTATTTTGGTGGGGAGGGATAGGAAGGGAGGGAGAGAGAGAGAGAATCCCAAGCAGTGACAATGCAGAGCCTGATGCAGGGCTCAAACTCCTAAACCATGAGATCATGACCTGAGCCAAAATCAAGAATCAGACGCTTAACCCTTAACCGACTGAGCCACCCAGCGCCCCATAATGAACTGATGTTTTAAAGATAGGTGAAAAATGTCCTGGAAATGATGTTACCTTTACTAACATGTTGTGAGGTGTTTATTGAGATCTTTTCTTGTCCTTGGAATTGTCTTAGAATTTGGAGATAGCTAACAGCCTGCTGAGAACAAAATTTAAAACTTCCCAAGGCTGAGTTAGAAGGACACAAGAGTCTTAGTTAGAGACTCATGTGCCCTCAAGGACAGAGGGAGAATGAACTAGTTTTATCGCTCTTACCCTGAAATAATAGAAAGGTAGTATTGTGCTGGGAAAGAGGAGACTGGGTTCACATTTTGGGAAGTGCAATGTTTGTGGAAAGAACCTATGCCCTCTCCTAGGTTCTGATAGATGGTAGATGGTAAGGGAATGGAATCCCAAAAGAATTGCACATAAAGTTTAGGGATATCTACAAGATGGTAAGGTTTATTTCTCATTCCTCTGCTTTACCACTGGGATTTTGAGCTACCTACAAGCTACAAGGATACTGGAAATAACATTTTGGAAAGATGATGTGGTGGTATTGCCAGGTAGAAAAAGAGATAGGATTGACCCCCTACCTAACTTCTCAATTCTGGAGAGGCATGAGAAATAAATCCTATCATGCCTACAGGCTCTGGGATTGGAACTAGGGAGGGGAATTATTTAGATAAAGGCTTACCATAAACTGTTACAGAGTAAGGCAAAGAGACCTATGAATCACAGTAATGCCTTTCCAGGGTCATCAGCTAGGAGTCACATGCAAGGTGTGTCCCAGTCTTCCAAGGTGCCAACAAAACCTAAGGAAGCTGCTTGGGTGTGAGTCCTCATCATAAGGCTCTATAGAAATTAAACTTGAGGGGCACCGGGGTGACTCAGTCACTTAATTGTCAGACTCTTGATTTCGGCTCAGGTCATGATCTCACAGTTAGTGAGTTCAAGCCCCAGTTCATTGTGCTGACAGTGCAGAGCCTGCTTGGGATTCTGTCTCTCTCCCTCTCTCTACCCATCCCTCACTGCTTGTGCACCTGTGTACTCTCTCTCTCTCTCTCTCTCTCAAAATAAACAAACTTAAGAAAAA